CGCTCGATATTTTTGTACAAAATATCAGTGCTATCAGAAAGGTTTAGATCTGTTTTCTTTTGCTTTATTCATGAAAAGATTATATATGAATAACTTGATATGCAACGATTAATGAATTCAAAATTACAATCCATTAAAAAATTACAGTCTAAAATTTAAAGCTTCTTAAAAAGGTCACGAGTTATAATTGATCGATGATCCAATTTGGGGCACTGTTCAACAATATACGTTGTATTTGGATTGAAGTCAGATTCCTAAAAAAGAAACCTTTATTGCTAAAATAAGCAAATTCGAAAGTGTCATGCTAATGACCTCAAGATCTCGTCAAAAGCAGCTGTATGAAAACATAATAAGTCCCAAAAATAACCTTGCTGCACCCTGCAACAGGCTCGTCTTTCGATTCCTGCACTATATCAATTTGTTTCAGAGGAGCTTCGTTCAAAACGAATGTGTCACGGCGTCCAGGTACATTAGTTACACTGAAATTTCTGATGCTAATTCACGTCAATCTTTTTACCGGTTAAAATTTAATTTAGTTTGATTGCACACCGACTTTGCCAGATTTTTTTAGGATTAATCTTTCATACAGCATGGCGGATTCCCTGCATTACTAAGATCGTTTTGATCTTAATAATGCAAGGAACTGTCAGGAATTTAAGTTACGTTAAGCTTGACACCCTCAGCCTTACACGGTCATCTCGAAACAATTTATTTTCGATTACTGAAAATCCTCCTAAATGTATAAGCCGAGTTTAATACTCGAAGCACTACAAATAAATCGATTATTCGTTTAAATTAAAACTCTTATTTATCTAAAACAAACTTAATAATTCAACTATGCTGAATACTACGTCTGTCACAAAGTAACCTGGATTGACGTTTACGGGTTGTTCTCTGTGGAGTAGGACAATACGAAAAATCACTGTCTGCAGTGGATGCATTCTCTTCTTTTTCATCCAAAAAAATTGAGTCCAGATCCATAACCTTTAAAAGCGCGCACTTTATCAGTTAATAAGTAACTTAAAATGGGCTTAAATAAGTTCAAATGTATAAATACAATAAAAGAAAAAAACTGATACTTACAACTCCAAGACGTTCTACCGGTTTTCGATTTTCTCTTATTTGATAATTTTTAAACAAATCTCCTTCATCCCCTCTTTCTTCTGTAATCTGCAAACATTCTTTGCAATAAATTTTCGGAAATATGCAATGCTAATAAAGCAGTTATATCAAGTTATGCATCGACCAATTATAATTATGACTTATTTCTGAAATGAATTGGATAAAAATGATCCGGAATCTATAACCAATTTGAAGTTAACCTCGGTAAAATCAAAACCTAATTTCTGAAGGAGATAAAATCATGATAAAACTTGCACTCTCTGATAAAGAACGACCAGCCATGATACCATCCGCTGGTCCAGTCCTGCGACGTAATCGACCATGGTAGACTCGTGCATGTGATTTCTAATATTCCAACATTAAAATTATTTATAAGAATTTTCGAAATATACCACATCATAAAAACATTATTTATATATTTTTGTGAGAAAGAAAAATTGATTTCTGATAACACAAACCTCTAAATCATTTCGCTTTTGTTCAAATGTTTGTTGGAGATTAATGAAATTGTTAGCAGCTTCCTTTACCAAGCTCAAATTCCTGACAAAATTATCGGGCAAGTCGAAGTGCCCTTCTGCCATTTCATTCCAAATGTTTATCATATCGTGTTCCTTCAATTAAAATAGAGAAAAAACCGTGCATGTTTTCCTTTTTTCAACCTTCAAATAAAATTCTAAATCTTAAAATAACCACACCTGCTTAGCGTAGCAGAGTTCGGTTTCTGCTAAGTTTCTTCGTAAACTCCCCACCATAGCTTTGGCACTCTTCAGTTCTGTCCGCATAGCGTCTAACTTCCTCTCATACGAATTTTTCACTTCATCCGCGCCTCGCATTAGTTCTTCGATTACTAAATCTTTTTCCAAACAAGAACGCCTCTCGTTTATAGTCTGTAAACATTTTTGTACTTCTTTAAATTTTAGTTTTATGCCCAACACTTGAATTTTTCCTAACTAGAAGTCTTAATGCTGACTAGTTCTAAACGGACTAAAATAGAATGGAAAATTTAATTACTGCATCAAATAGACGGTTCAGTCCTGCCCTTGCTTCTGTAAGATTTCGTAGAGCATTCCACAGTTGCTCACGCTGTTCATCTGAGTAAGCTTTTGTGCATTTCTTTTGAATATCGCCGAGTTCACTGCCTCGTAACTGAATTTCTTTGTCCAAATTCTTTAGCTGCACTTCAATTACCTGTCTTTCATCTTCACTCTCGATACCTACACGATCGAATCCAGTACGACGCTGAAAACAGCAATTTTTCCAAAATGATGCACAGGTGACAATGAAACAAAAAGAATTTAGCCTATTTTTGATTTCTCCAACCGCAGACAGACATCAAAGGATTAAAAAGGATGAAGTCATTCAAAATTGAAATGTTATCAAAACTAGTAACAAACCTTGACCGATGGTTCCCTCAACAACTTCTCTAATGTTTTCTGTAATTTTTGTTGCTGAGCAGAAAGGATTTTTCGCTGTTCGATTAAAACTTGGCAATGAATTTCGGCCTCAGCTGCAGAATAAGCTACAGCGAGTTCATCGTTCAAAGCTGACTGTAAGAGGCGAGATCTTTGAGTAAGCAAATTTAACTGACACCGAACATAACTCTAATCTAGTGTAAATTAAGTCGTGAGCACGTCTGGATTTATTTCAAAATAAATTCAAAGTTGATTTCAATCACTCTTCCTTGAATGATGGTCTCCAACTTAGTTTTTAAATGTGAATATACTTTGAAAGTAAAATATTTAAAATTTTCAGAAAAACCTACAATAAATTGTCCGTCACATGATGTTTTTGCTCGAGTAGTGCATTTAGCAAGTTGCATCTGTAGACGTCGATTGCAAGCATTTGCTTCCTCGTATTTACGTCTGTACACAGCCAATTGTAGGTTTTTCGCATGCTGCTCTCGTACTATTTCCATTTCGCGTTTGCGTACCTTAATGAAAAAGATAAGGATAGAGTTAATTGAATCAATCAAAATTCCTGTTCAAATCTGGCACGAAGAATGGACTGATTTATCGATTTTTTTAACGCAGTATTATTGAATTTGTCTTCAAAATTGACTTTGAATGAAAAATCGGGAACGTACTTGGTTCTTCAACTGCGCCATACTTCGATCAGCTGTCATTTTCCATTTCCGAAACTTCACTTCCCCTTCCTTCATTTGTTTAGACATTTTGACCCTTAACTTCTTCAGTTCCTGTAAATATATACATAAAAAAATGACTCTAGATTTAGATATCAGAATAGTTAACAAATCATCATTCGAAAACTTTGAATTAACGAGAAAAACTTGAAAAAAAATAAACATACGCTAAGTTCTGTACTCAACTTCTTAGATTGCTCTTGCAAACGAATGTTTTCTTTTTCCAGTTTTTGGATTTCTCCCACCCGCCTCTTACTAGCTGCCAATTCTTTCTCGAGTTCTTGAAGTCGTTTCCGCCGTTCTTCGCTCAACCTCACAATAAATACAAATTGATTATTTCAAAATCATGTCTTTCTTCCGTCTGCTTATGGCAAACAAATAGAAACTTCGAACATAGTCCATACTTATGATGGATGCTGGATCCTTTAAGTTTGCTCAGCAACTCTTGTTTTTCCTTTTCCAGAATAACCAATTTCGCTTGCAGGTGTTCCATTTCAGCAGCATAGATATCACGCATCTTGACAATTTCTGTCTGAGAAGCAACGGTTGCTTCAAATGCTAGCTCCTGAAATTCATTAAGCATGATTTTATTTATATCAAACACCAGCATGTGTAACTTAGAGTTAAATAACAAACCTTTTGTTTAATTTCTTCCAAAATATCTCGCATGTCATTGTTAAGTGCTATTTGCTTCTCAGTAAAATGATTGACAAATGCTTGATCGGATGTTTCATCTTCTCCATCATCATCACCAATCTAAAAAAATGAAATTAAAACCGAATTAGCCCTTCACTGATGTAACAATGACTAACAGAGTCAATCACGTGCAGAAAGATAGAATAACTTTTTCTACAAAAGATCTTCAAATAAAGCTTGAAGAATTAATAACTTTATAATTGCACTATCAATAAGAGGCTATAAGAGAGAATTTTTTGTAGCTTTTCTACCAAACTAGTCTCCTGTCATTTGGCTGTCGTATTACTCCGCAATCAAGAATTTTTTTCAAATAAAGCTTGAAGAACTAATAAATTTTATCATGTTATTAATAAATAATTTACATCGAACGCATCTTTATCTTTTTCCTCTTCGATAGGGCCTCGCAGATTGATAGCATTGTCTAAGATCTTCATCGCTTCATCGAATTCCTTATTTTCACTTTTTTTTCTGGAAACTTAAAAAATTAATATAAAGGTAAGTTTTTTTCTTAAAATTGGCCGTATCAAATAAAAGTTTACTTAATTTCCTTAATATGATCTCTCAGCTGTTCAACGATCTGTTGTGAGGCCAGCAATTGCTCTACTAATTTCGAATTTTCCACCATTGCTTCCGCAAACCGTACATTACGATGATTGTAGTCTTCCTGCCTCTCTAGATTTTGTTTTTCTAACTCGATGCATTTCTTACACTCTTTCGTTATTCCACTTCTAAATAAAACAGTAACAAATATTTAAAAAAATTTCTCATAATATATTAAACTTCCAATGTAGCTACTGGAAGAGCAGTTTACCCCTTTCTTCATTATAAAACTTCGTTTTTAAAAAGGACTGAAATTATGCAACGGCAAATAATGAAAGGAACTTCTCTACTATGACTGAAATTCGAAACAAAAATTCCTGCAGAATGATTTCTGAATCTACTTCGTTTTTATAAGCTTAGCAATTAACCAAAAAATCTTACGTTGTTTGGTTGTCATCCAATGTTACTGAATTCTCTCCTGCACGAAGCATAGCCAATTCGTGCTTCACGTTCGCCAACTCATCCCTCAAACCTTGGATCAAGGCCATATTCGGATCGATGTTAACAGTGGGCTTGTTCTTGATATGTTTCGCTCGATCCGCATATCGTAGCGTTGATAAGGTTTCGTCGGCATTCGTATCAGCTGGTGAAACACATGCTATCATCACTGTATAGCTGTTGCCTCCAAGTGAATCTGTAAGTTAATTTTGCTCCACGGCGCACTGATCACTTTCTAATAACAATAATCATAAATATTAGCTATAGAAAAAGAAGTACTGTAATATACATTATAATTTATAAATTCTTTTTGTAATATATAAATTTGGATACCAGAGAATTAGAAGCAGTATAACACAGCTGGAGTTGATTACACTTATTAGCTTTTAGCAAAAATTAATTCTAGCGAGATATCATGAACTGACCGTTCAATTTAACAACGAATTTTCAAGAACCCTGCAAGCTGTAACAAGAATATCGCACCTTGAAGAAGACGAGTAATTTTCGTAACACGATACGGAATGTGGCGTCCGGTGGCATTCGAATCGGTCAGAGATGCAATTACATTACCCAAGGCTAGCAAACCTTCATTGATCTTAATACCTTCTCGCATCCTTTCGCCTTCAGCTTGAGTCTTTTTCAAACGCTCAGAACCAGCCAAATCCACGAGGTGAAGTTTAGCTTTGAACATAGTACTGGAAATTCTCATTTAAATTATGCAACTACTTTAACTTATGTAAGTACATTGAAACCTTGACATCAAGCAAGAGTCTGAACCTCTCGTCTGATTCATTCCCTTCGATACACAATGTGAAAATGGCATGCGAGCGTGATGATTTGTCGTTCATTGCTGTTTCCCCTCTGCTTCGAAGCTGACATCCTTTTTGCAGAAGTTTCAGGGCATCATCAAGACAGGACACTGGGTGTACCGACAATCCCTGCACCTTAAAAATTGAAAAATTTGAAATGAGAGCGGATATGTCAAGCAGAATTTTGAAATGAGAACGGATATGTCAAAAAAGACAAATTGAAAATTTACCGTAAAATGTGCTAAAGTTTCAAAACGTATCTAAAAAATTTAGTGCTTACAAAAACAGCTCCTTTCGATTCGCGAATTTGCAAACATTCTCGACTAATACAAAGCAAATCGATGACTTTCTCCTCATATATCTCAAGCATTGACGCTGTCACTCGATGCCTATTTGATGTCCCAATCTGTTTGAAGATACCATCCACTAATCGCGAAATAATTCCACGTCCTTCGCTTGATGAGGTTATCTAAGACAAATTTTTTGTTATTTTGGTTTAGAATTTAAAAGTTAAATTAAATTTACTCCCGTGCATATTGATGTATAATTTCTTCATGACAATTATTACTTGCAACAATCATTACTTGAATAATTTCATCTCATTCTATTACTGGTTATCTTAACCAATTTAATCCATGTCAACAAACTGAAAAATTGCTTAATCATGGAAGAAGTACAGCACCTGCCAATAAAGATGTAACTTTCGTCCAAAGAGATGACAATATCTATTGTTGAAACATAAAGTTACCGGTCATATGTACTTATTAATAACACAAAAGAAAAAAGGCCAAGAAATGTTAACCGCTTCTTCAGTTCCCATCGTGTAGGTTTTCCCGCTACCTGTTTGTCCATACGCAAGAATCGTGCAGTTATATCCTTAATTTTTTATTTTCAACATCAAAACTATTTGTATTTCTCACGTGCAAAAATTCTATCCCATAAACATATCAAAAATCACAGTGAGTTAAAATGCAGAATAAATGAACGGAAGAAAAGTAATAATACCATCAAAAATTTTCTCCAACAACGGAGCAGCACACGCATCATATATCGTTTCTTGCGATGTAACAGGATCGAAAACACTATCGAAAGTGAATATTTTACCATTTATCGATATCTAAACAATCAGTTCGGTATGTTGTAAAATGTTGAAAAGAATTAATTCCAATATTTTTGTCCTTTTCAATTAGTCTGTGATAAAAAACAAAATATTCACCTGACTTTGTTCCACAAAGCATTGCACACATTCCTGAGAATTTTCTGCCTTTTCTCGATTATTAAGTGGTCGAACACGAATAGCAACCCTGACCGGAATAACCTCTGTCATTTTATTTGCCTGAACTTTTTAGAAAAAAATATCAAATCTAATTGGAATTTGAAAACAAACGAGAGAAATTGAAATAATATGAGAATACGCAAAATTAAACCGGACAAAGTTAAGAATATAAGGATGTTTTGTCGCATATCAAGATTCAAGTGTTAATAATATATTATGCAAATGTCTCCCGCCTAAACATGCCCGTGAAAAATGATCTTTTTTGTAAGAGATAATAAACAACAAAAACAACAGTCTCTGAACAATTATTGGCTGTACGAAGAATGTTTGGGTAGTTAAGCAAGAACAACAAACAATAACTTACACAATGACTACTGGTTACACAAAAAAAAATAGTACCGGCCATCGGAATAACCAATAGAAAGAACTTTGATAAAAAATATTATCCATAACAGTAGAAATGAGTGGATATTTTAGGAATGATAGAAACGGACAAAATATTGATGAAAGAGGAGAACAGATGTGAATGGATGAAAAATGTACAGGAAAAGGATACCTCTTCACTTTACTAATTACATCAAATAAAACAATGGACAAACACGCCGCTTGATCATTATCTTATTCCTTAGCTAAACAATCCATTACAATATTTAATTATTCAAAAGAAAAATTTGACGCTGTTTTCATAATTTAAATTTTTATCATCTTTTCGAGCGTTAGTTGTATGTAGCAGCACAAAAACCGGTGTATCTTCCTTATATCCCATTTTGTTGGCTGGAAGGGGAATGGAAGAGGGATGGGAAGAGGGGAGAGAGGGGAGAGGCGGAGGGAAGGAAATAAAGCTTGCTTACAGTCCTTTTGACATATTTATGAAATGAGGTTCTATAATGACATAAGGTTATTGTTGAACATAACACTCATAAGTTAACGATATCACATATTATTTTACTATTATTCGTCTTTTCCATTTAATTTGGTACGATTATTTTACTATTTATCTCACCTTTTTTTTTCATTTTTCAATCGTCTTATATTATTATTAGGTATACCAAGTAATATTTAGCGCTTCGTATTATTTTTCTTATCCTTTTGTTTTACTGTCTCAATATTTTTACTCGATTTTATGTTAGATATGATTTCACATTACATATAATTTTACTACTAATTAGGAGTTTTATTATCTACAATAATTATGTATATACTTTTTTGTCGTTAGGCTAATACTATTTTGGTTTACATTTTTACTAATTTTATATTCTCTCAATGGGTACGATTATTATTAACTTTATTTTATGTCTTTTTACAACCTAACATTCTTTATACATTTTTCTATTGACAGTCTCATTCTCTCGTTTTGTTCCAAAATATAGTTACAATTTTTATAATGTTGTTTTGATTTGCATTTTAATTAATTAATTAAATACCAAATATTCTTTCAATGGTAATTCATTTTATTCATCTATTATTTTTAGTCTGCTTACGTTGATTAATTAATCTAATTGTATAAGCTAGAATTAGGCAAGTTAAAAAGTTGAAAATATTAAAAATATTAGAAGGGTGTCATATGTTATTATTGTTGCTATTGTTATGGCTGTATTTATCTATTTGTTGACGCGAAAAAAAAACGATGCTGACAAGGATTATATTCGTTAACGGCGAGCGGTTGGGTAACATTTATGGTGTAACTCGCAGTGGTGCTACAGCAGCAACTATTCGATCTGTTTCAATGGTGAAACGGAATATGGCAACGGCAATCCGTAAGGAACGTGACACTTTTGGCGAATTACAAGTACCGGCGGACCGTTATTATGGAGCGCAAACTGCAAGGTTGTATACTTTTTTGCTTTCATATTTTGCTTGTTTACAAACTTCGCTTCTATTATTTGTTTAGTTGGATGGAAATAGAGATATACGAGAGAAGCTGTATGAAAAAAGGAAGGGAGAAATGTAATAGTGCTAATTTTAGAACTAACTGTATGGAGTTAGAATGAGCTTTGCATTAGTTTAATAAGTATTCGAGTGATGACGACGTCAGATGAAATGAAACGAACTATCTCTTTTTAATAAGAGCAGTGAAGTGGTATTATGAAGCTGATTACGTGATCAGCATGAACTCGTTTCATGAAATAATGTGTACCAACATCGTATCATTAAAAATTATTTGCCATCAATTCATTTAATTTTACAAAAAGCAATGATCTGCTTTACGCACGAGCTAACTGAATGAATGTATGATTGGATGCAAAGAAACTACGGAACATAGCTCTAAAGATAGAGGGAGCGATGTAAGCTAACATGAATTTAACTGTGTAATCTTATTTTGAAAGCCATCATTGGAAGTTCTCTCGTGCTTCAAGAATCCCCATTGGAAAAAACCCCGTTATATTTTTAATCTTGAAAACTTTCATTGGGAAATATTGGAAAATCAATTTTAAATTCATTTTTTTACTCACCATATTTTAAAAAAAAAAATTTTTTAATATTTTTTCAGATGAAAATTTTTGATAATTTGCCGGATTTGTCAAAAAGGAGCCAAATTTTTGGCACTAAGTGTATAGCAAGGAGGATTAAATTTTGATTTAGAAGATCTTCTCCTCCGTCTTTAATGAGTGGTTTCTTGTTTTTTTTTTTTTTTTTGATTTTTTAGTTCTTTCATGAATCGATCCTTGCTTTTTCCTTTTTCCTTCCCTTTTCACTGATCTTTTCAGATTGCAGATTTACATTTGAAATATCCGCATTCAAAGGAGCTGTAGCTGGCTATTTATACAGACGAAATTTGTTTTTTGAGAGAACAATAGCTAAAACTAAAACTAAAACGTATTTTAAAATTGTCTAATAATTTTCATATTTTAATGGAATTTTTTTGATATACAAATTTTCCGAAGAGCATCAAAAAATTTTTTATACAAATTTTTCTGTTCATTGGTAGAGTACATTTCACTTTTTCTTATATTCATAATGAAGAATAGAATAGAGAAGACAAAGCATGATATCTAAAGAAGTGAATAGTGATGTTGTTGGTAAGAATTAATAGTGTCTCTTCAAATTTAAGGCTGATCATGCTTCATTTAACATTAAAATACGAAAGAGGGACTGGATATTTCAAATGAAAAAGTATGGATGACAATCTTATTGTATTGGAAATAGTGGTGTTAAAGTTGTTATAGAAATTAAAAAAAATTCAGTTGAAGATTATATCAAACATAGCGATATTGTGTAATTTATAATTAAAACACATGGGTTTTCTTTTTCGGTTACATTACCACAATGTTATTCTCATTATTTTCATTTAATTCAAAGTCGTAGAATATGTGTACACGGTCAATTTCAGATCAATGATGAATTTTAAAATTGGTGGTCCAGAAGAGCGTATGCCGTTACCGGTTATTCACGCATTCGGCATCCTAAAAAAGGCCGCTGCATTAGTTAATAAGGAATACGGTTTGGATCAAAAAATTGTGGACGCTATTTCAAAAGCTGCAGGTTAATTTTGGTTGAACTTTATCGATTTTTTTAATGTATTTTCTCCGTGTTCTTTCAATATTTCAGATTAATTCAACGACTTTTCCTCAAACTATTCTCTTAACCAGTTTTTCATCATGGAAGCGCCGAATACAGCGATTGAAAAGTGCATACTTTGTTCAGTTTTAAAATAAAAATAGGCGAGCAAAAAAATATGCCACATTATCGATTGTATTTCTATCTCAAGGGACGACAAATGGTTTTTGTCGGGATTATTGACCTTATTACTACAAATAGTTATCAGATAAAAGTAGCAGCTTTTTCTTGATTTGATGAAGTTTCTTTTCGCTCTTTTTTTGCTTCTTACTTGTGATCAAAACAGTGAGGAAAAAAAAGGAATTAATTTCTCCAGTGCTGCTCATTAAGTCATTTTTGTTACATTTGTAATTTCGATGAGAAATATTAAAGAAACGATTTCCAATTTTTCTTTAGTTGATGAAAATAAACTTTGTATGAGAAAAAAGTGGATGTATTAAAAAAAATCATTCATATAGACACATGCGTGCAGCGGTTTAATTTTGGTTGTTTGAATAATTTGTAACGACGAATAGATCATTGATCATTGATGCCACTTGTTGCTGCATTATTTTTCTGTTTTTTTCGTCAATTTTTGCAATGAAAATTGACATCTTCATAGAAGGATTTGCAATGAAAATTGACATCTTCATAGAAGAATCTTCATAGACCTGCAAGGTTTTTTCCTTCTTCGAAAACGCTGAAAAAAGAAAAGAGACACTACGCCTCTTTACTAGTGTTGTCATTTTTGATCGAAATAACCAGTATATCTGCCTATCATCTGGCGAACAGTTGTATCCACTGTATCCACTATCTTTAGAGTCAGATAGGCAGTTGCTCCGATCTAAGCTATAATTTTATACGCAATTCTGGACATAAATTGTTCAACTTATCAAGATTGCTTATATTTCAAATTGTGCTCATTAACTTTTTCTTTCTGTCGATTAGTTGTTGAATTGTTACAGATGAAGTTATTGCGGGAAAGCTGGACGATCATTTCCCACTGGTGATTTGGCAAACTGGATCTGGTACGCAATCGAACATGAACGTCAATGAAGTGATATCGAATCGAGCAATTGAAATGTTAGGTGGCGAGTTGGGATCTAAAAAACCAGTGCATCCGAATGATCATGTGAACATGTCGCAGTCATCGAATGATACTTTTCCGACGGCAATGCATATCGCTGTGGCTAGGTTAATTAATTTATATTGTACTCGCATCCGATTTCATTCCGAGGATGCAAAAAAAGGAAACTGCAACAGTTTTAATAATTTTATGTTTTTAATTCTTTGATTTAGTCATCAAATTTAGGGTATCAGAAATGAGATAAATGTTTAAAGCTAACTTGAAGTTTGATTATTTTCCAGAACTCTTCCAAAATTTCTCTTCATATCTTATTTTTATACATTAGTGCTGTACAAATTTTCATGGGCAGAATCAACTTCATTGATCGGTTCCAACTGTTTCGGTATTTGTATGTCATCTTTTAGAGAACTGAATTCTCGTCTACTGCCATCTCTACAACAACTACTTGATTCGCTACGCCGAAAATCAAAAGAGTTTGAAAACATCATCAAAATTGGGCGTACACATACTCAGGATGCAGTACCACTTACGCTTGGTCAAGAATTTGGTGGTTATGCGCAGCAGGTTTTTTTATTATATAAAGTGTAATAATTCATATAATTAATGCGATAGTACCCTTATTTTTCCTTCATTTTCCCATTCTTCTAACTTTTTTACTTGACTTTCGTCTATTTAAGATTTATACAAACTTTTTTTAGAAAAGTAAAATGGAAGGAAAAGACTTTAGAATATTATAACCAGGACCAGTTCTTTAACTTTTTCTAACTTTTATTACTATCGAGAAGAAAAGTTGACTTTAAAGTAAGGAATGCTCTATATAAGAAAAGATGTGAAATATTGATTATTGAAGGTAGAAAATGGTATAGCACGCGTGAAGGATACGCTATCGCGCTTGTATATGCTTGCTGCTGGTGGTACTGCTGTTGGTACGGGTCTCAATACACGAATTGGTTTCGCTGAAAAAATTGCCACGTATGACTTTTGTTTTTTCGGGTGGATTGAAACTAATGCTTAAATAATCAGCGAGTATCAGAAACCCATTTCAAACTATGGCTGCCAGCATAGAGTTTGTGTGCTAGTATCATATCGTAGTTGAAAAATGCACGAATTCTATAAATAATGCTATTGGTTTTTTTTTTGAAATTTGATGATTTATTCATCCATCTACTAAGTTTTTTCCTACTTTCAGAATTAAACTTGAAACTTCAAAATTAGGTTAAGTCTCTCGTAATTATAAAAATGTTTTAGGAAAATTGCCGAACTGACTGGTTTACCATTTGTTACAGCTCCAAACAAATTTGAAGCGTTAGCAGCCCATGATGCAATGGTGGAGGTAAATTGTGATTCGGTTTTAAATCTGTAACAATAAAGCCAATTTGTTAAAAACAAAGCTGTGATTTACATTTTGAAGATCTATTATAATTGCGAGACGACCTTCAAATTTATTTTAATTAAGCCTTACTAAATAAGACCAATGAGTTATATTTAAAGCAGATTTATCTGATCTTAGCTATGTTGAACATGCATTACATGTCACTTCCATTGGGGCGATGTGCTGCTGTGTTATTTGGCCAATATGATATTATAAAATAATTTAAACAGGATTGAAATTATAGTACTTTGAAGGTGCATGGTGCTTTAAATACTATTGCGGCAAGTTTGATGAAAATTGCGAATGATATACGTTTCCTTGGCTCTGGTCCACGTTGTGGTCTTGGAGAATTATCGTTACCTGAAAACGAGCCTGGAAGTTCCATTATGCCAGGCAAGGTAAATCCGACACAGTGCGAAGCTGTTACCATGGTTGCTGCTCAGGTTTTCGGTAATCAGGTATGCATGTTCCCTTAACTTCGTCACATATTTGTTTTGATGGGAAGGATGTGTTCGGAAGCTTTTAATAAAGAATTTCTAAGGCGTGTTGGCTATTGATGAATTGAGGATTTAGTTTTAAAGAATTCTTCGATACGTAATCAAAAAATTTTAGGTTGCAGTTACCGTTGGTGGCTCAAATGGACATTTTGAATTAAATGTGTTCAAGCCGATGATTGTTCACAATGTTCTCCAATCGACCCGACTCATTGCTGATGCATCTGTATCATTTACAGTTAACTGTGTCGACGGTATCAAAGCAAATAAGGTAGATTTTATGCTTTGTATCTGTGAATATTTATATATTTATTGATTTAAACATTTCCATTCTTTGGTGGAAATGTTGTTCGAGCTAATATTGTTTAGCCTCACTGGGTTTATTTTAATGACTTCTAAGCTGATTTTAATTTCAGTAAAGCGAGTTAAATAATATGTAACTACTGATGTGTATTTGCTTAACAATTTTAAACACGGTTTTACTGCAGGAGAACATCGCTAAGATTTTACGTGAATCGTTAATGTTGGTGACGGCGCTTAATCCTCACATCGGTTATGACAATGCTGCAAAAATTGCCAAAACAGCTCATAAGAATGGTACCACTCTGAAGGAAGAAGCTATAAAATTAGGCATTTTGACATCCGAGCAATTCGACGAGTGGGTACGACCGGAAACAATGTTAGCACCCAAATAAGATGCTGTGCGTATAAACATTCCCTGCTAGACTTCATGGGTTTGACTTGAAATGGTGATTGTTTATTGTTGTAATAAAAATTGGTCTCTTATTCTTACTAATTATTCTAAAGGCTAGCATTGTTTGCTACTGCTTTCGGAACTCTTGTTAACTTAATAAATCAATGCAAAAACTTTAGAGAGCTGATCCAAGTTTGGATTTTCGTATTAAGTCTGATTTTAATTTAATCGGTGCTTTCCTCTTTCATTTGTTAGATCCTTTTCTGGATGAATTAGATTTTTATGATACAGATTATATATACAGATTATTACGTGTGCAATGCATGTGTATTACACTGCTTGCAATGATATATGTGCATTTCGTTCAATATTGGATTTACAATAATAAATTTTTTTTCAATATTCTTTGTTAATTGCAAATCAGTTGGACTAACCAAGTTGTCAATAATGGTTACATGTAAAAAGTTAATTCTGGATGAATTAGGTTTTTGAACGAAACTTTAAGAGTTTACCCTTAACATTTATAATTCATTAATTAAAAATCAACAGCTACATATTTGGTGAATGATCAGCAGTCATACGATCAACCAAAACAATAAGATTAACAATTACACCATTTATCAACAGCAACACTATCGATAAATGATAAAACCAGTGATTAAATAATCAAGCAATGATAAAATCAATGAACGCGATTGGTGAATGATGCGAATTAGCTGTTGTGTAGCTCTGTATGTCCTGTAATATAAGCGGAGTGGAATTTGTGTTTCGTCAAATGGTTCAAACAATGAGCATAATGAATGGGTTGAAATAAATTGAATAATTAATATCAGGAATGAAACTTAAGGCCAATTCATTTTTAAGTAAGGTTCAATATCAATTCTAAAAGCTTATAACCAACCATATCCATGTTAGTAATCGCATCATACTGATTTTCAACAAATTAGTTTAAATTTCAGTGATATCAATATTACACTATATTGTGTTATAATCTTAGAAAATAGAAGGGAAATTTTTATAATTTATGAGTTAAATATGAACGAAGTACAGTACTTTCTAGGAAATTAGTAAATATCATTTTTATCAGTTTAATCATTTTTACCAGTTCTTGCCAGCATCAGTTTCCTAAAAAAAAAAAAATTTGATCACTTCAAGTATTAATATTTGATATATCTTTTAAATTACCTAATCTTATGGTGATATAAATTGTTTCTATTGCTTACATCATTCTTTATCATGATATATTTTTTTATCAGAACTTTTGAGAATGACAGTTATTCTTGTCACTGTAAATTATGTTTCAGAAGTATCAAATGAGCATTGTAGCATTATACAAAATTCGCTTATCAATTATATTTAATAAATCAATCATCTGTATTACTTTGTTGATTAAATTACAAGCATTATGTTAATTAATCTGTATTACTTTGTTGATTAAATTACAAGCACTTTGTTGATTAAGTTACAAGTGCTAAAATTTCGTGTAAGTTTAAATGGAATTAAGACCCGTGAACTTCTATACTAACTCCATTGATAGTTTTTAATTTCTTTGATTTCAAACCTTTTTTTTGCTTGCAAAATAATTAATCCATTATTAGGATTTTATGTGGCTGCAACTAATTGTATGGAACAG